TCCTCGGAAAATAGTTTTTTTTTGATCCCTTAAATAGTTTTTTTTTGATCCCTCACCCCAAAGCCCTAGTCTAATCATTAAGGCCCCTAGATGAGAGTCTTAGGCTTCAGCCTCCTCCCTCTGAAGGAGACCACCAAGACGAAGAGTTTCGACTTCAGTCTCATCGAGGGCTGCCGGGCTCTTCTTGAGGAACTTAGTACGTAGCAAAGCACAATATTAGGCATCCACAGAATGGGTGATGATACCACTCCCCAGACAAATATGCAAATACCGAAGTGTGTGCTTGTCTGTGTGTGCAGATGATTGCGTATGTACATGTGCATATGTTTAAATTGTTTGACATGTATCAGGGCCCGAAAACCTTAAACCCTAAACCCTAAACCCTAATTAAGTCCCCGAACAAGAAATCAGGCTGGAGCGTCCAGAAGATCACCGAGGAGCACAAGCGCCTGTGCGACAAGCAGCTCAAGTTCGAAGAGAAGGCGCAGGGGGCGAAGCCCCTCAGCAACTGGGCTACTTTAACTTAGGGTTGTAGGGTTCAGGGTTGGGGGGGTTAGGCTAACGGTTTGTGGAGCTCGCTTCGCGCATGATATCTTCAGCTAAACTGAGATGTTGAGGAACTTGTTTCGAGTTGGAAGCCCCCAGCAACGGGGTGATCGTGTGAAGGAATCGGTTGTCAAGTATGATGCAGACATAGGACAACGTATTAAATATTGCAGATGGGTGATCATACAGAAACAGGAGTATACTTCGTCTCGTCACTATCGTAAACTCAGTTAGCGCAACCCAGGCAAAGAGGAGGAGAGGCTGCTGACTGTTCTGAAGAAGAAGGTCGAGCAGTGGGGCAACGAGTACTATGAAAATGTTTGCAAGAAGATCGAAAGGCATCAAAAGTTCATTGAGGATATCCACCGGAAAATCAAGGAGGAGCGCGACAAGTACCCCTACAAGTCCATCATCGACCTCGATAAGTTCCGGGAGCTTTCTCAGCGCATCGCCGAGAAGGGCTACCACGAGCGCTGTTGCTTCGTGACACGACTTTGCTACAAGGAGGACGTGCCTAGCTGGCACGTTTGGAAACTTTATTCATTTCCCTTTGTGAGTCCTGTGGTACCTGTTCATAACTACTTTCAAGAATCCCAAAACTACAACCCAGGTGCTTGGTGTAGGTTTGGAGATCGTCAACGAGTCAGACACCGGACGCAAGATCTTCCAGTGCTCCTTCGACCTCCTCTCGAAGGAGGCCTTCAAGGATTTCGGCATACGCTCCGGTGTGTGGAAGGAGACTGTCTGGTGCTTAGTAGGGAATGGGGGAATGGGTTACAGGGACTACTATAAGGGACCTTAAGGGACTATCATAGGGATCCATTCCCCCAATCCCTACTAAGCACTAGACAGGAGAAGGTGGAGTTCTGGCTCCCCCTCGCCATCGATGCCCGGCACTTCCGACGTGCCCTTCCCTACCTGGCAGAATGCTTCCGACAGCTCGGAGATGGAAAGGTGGAGGCCGCGACCCGCAGCTACGGCACGCAGGCGGGCCTTTCAGTGTCATCTACCTTATGTTGGGGGGTCCTTATAATAAGGATCCTACTATTTGGGGTACCCTATGTTGGGGTCCTTATCATAAGGATCCTACTATTTAGGGGTACAAGCTTTGGGGTTTAGGGCTTACCTTAAGAACCCAAAGCCCACTTTTTTGCAGGTCCTTATTATAAACCCTTAATATTATGGGATTTAAAGGGAGCCTACAAAAAAGTAGGTTTTGGGTTCTTAAGGTAGGGATTCATACCCTAGAGGGTTTAGGCTTCAATCCTCAGGTTTGCAGGCTTAAGCCCTACATCCTAAACCCCTCGAGGCTTTTGGCCCTAAATCCCCAACCCTCAACCCTATAGGGTTTAGTGTGTAGGCTTCAATATTTAAGTTTCAGGCCTAAACCCTAAACCCTTGGCCATATTTGGCCCTAAATCCCCAACCCTCAACCCCAAAAAGGGTTTATTGCTTTGCTTTGACCCTTAAAAGTAGGTAAAAGAACGGCCCAAAACCTATAAAAGGGCTGTTATTATTCTACATACTTTTGGGGTTCCAGGTACCCTAAACCCTAAACCCTAAACCCTAAACAGGCGGGCAACGGTGTCAAGAGCCTTCGGGCCAACCTCCGCGAGCTCCAGCGGACGGGGCAGAAGATGGTCAGCCTGGAGGAGTACCTACGGCTCCGATTGCGGAATTCTGAAGGGGGTTTGGGAGTTTAGGGTTTAGGGTTGAGGGGGAATTTTGTAGGGGTATGGGGTTTAGGGTTTAGGGTTTGGGATTTGGGGGGTTTAGGATTTGGGGTCTAGGGTTTGGGTATTTGGGGGGTTTAGGATTTAGGGTTTGGGGTTTGGGATTTGGGGGTTTAGGATTTAGGGTTTAGGGTTTAGGGTCTGTAGGTTACCATAGAATGACAGAAAAGTTGCAACATCCTGTAACTAAAGCATATGCTGCGCCTATTCTGCTGCCCCTGTTTTTTCTGGAGTGCTAGAGCCTACTCGCTTGGGGTCGGCACTGCTGTTGTTTCATAGGCTTTGGGGCGACCCCCGAACCTAAGTCCTCAAACCACTGCGCCCGAAACCCCAAGCCTGAAACCTACGTCCTAAAACCACTCAGCCCCAAACCCTAAAACCCCCCAAAACGTGCCAAACCCTAAACCCTAAACCGGTGCTTAGGGTGTAGGGTTTAGGGCTTACTATAGGGGCCTAAAATAATTACCCATACTATTTTGGGGGGTGTCCTTGTTATAGTCATAATATAAGCCTATAATATGCCTCCAAGACCCTCTTCTAAGAATTAAGGCCCCTAAACCCTAAACCCCTAAACCCTAAACCCCCTACATTCAAGGTACAAGAAGCAGAAGGCCCAGCCGGAGAAGGAGAAGGCCAAGCCGGAGGCCGAAAGATGGCTTTAAGTCCCCAGAACCATTACGGCTTAGGCTTAGAACCGTCGGGTTTAGGGTTTCCTAAATCCCGAGACGCTTTAAGTCTTAGGGTTAGAACTGTGGGGTTTAGGGTTTCCTAAGTCCCTAGAACCCGTATGTCTTAGGGTTTAGAACTGTAGGTAAGGTTCAGGGTTCAGGGTTTAGGGTTCAGGGTTTGGGGTTCGTGGGTTTAGGGTTCAGGGTGTAGGGTTTAGGGTTCCTAAAACCCTAAAACCCTTCGGGTTTAGGCCCTAAGCCCTGAAACCCTAGGGTTTAGAGTTCCTTGACCCTAAACACTTAGGGTTTAGGGTTTAGGGTTTATGGTTTAGGGTTTAGGGTTTAGGGTTTAGGGTTTAGTGTTAACCCTATCCCTGGAAAAGCCCTTCACTGGGTTCTTGTTAAGGAGCTCGGATTTTAAGGTAAGGGAACCTTTCAATTACTACCCCTTCAAGGCAGCTTTAAAGGAACTCCAAGTTATGATCACTTTAAAGTAAGTTCCTGAACAAGAACCCAGCTTAGTAAACCTGAGCCTGTAAGCAGCCTTCGGCCCTAAACCCTAAACCCCTCAACCCTAAACCCCGAACCGTAGGAGTTCCATGGGATCTTCACCCTAAACCCCAAACCATTAAGTCCTAGACCACAAATCTTAAGTTTCAAAAATACCAAAAGATCTGAAGGCTCCTGATTGTACCCTAAACCCTAAACCCTAAACCCTAAACCCTAAACCCTAAACCCTAAACCCTAAACCCTAAACCCTAAACCCTAAACCGCTATAGCCCTAAAGTGAACTGCGAAGGCCCCCACGCTAATTTCCCCCCAGAAGAAAAGGACCTCTTGGAGACGATGTTGAAGGAACCCATTTCCTAACTTGGGAGCCCTAAATCCTACACCCCTGAACCCTTAAACCCTAAATACTTAAATCTCTAACCCCTAAACCCCTAAACCCTGAAACTCTAAACCCTAAATCCCCAAATCCCTAAATCCCAAAATCCCTAAAGCCCTCAACCCTGAACCCCTACATCCGTAAATCCCTAAACCCTGACACCTTCATCACCCTAAATCCAAAATCCCAAAAGCCCTCAAGCCCTCAACCCTGAACCCCCTAAGCCCTAAATTTCTAAACCCTAAACCCTAAATCCCTGAATCCCTAAACCCTGAAACCTTAAATCCCAAAATCCCCAAAGCCCTCAACCCTGAACCCCCAAACCCCGAGCCAGTTTAGCAACCCCCAGGAATCCTAAACCCTAAACCCTAAACCTGAAGCCCTAAACCCTAAATGTGAAAC